CCCCTTAGCTGTTATAAATTCACTGTAAACCACAGCTTCTTGGGGCTTATTGCTTTAATATATTTTAAAATGTAATTTATTCCTGTGATGCAAAGCTGAATTTCCAGCATCATTACTCCAGTCTTTAGTGTCACATGATCCTTCAGAAATCATTCTAATATGCTGATTTGCTGCTCATTATCAATGATGAAAACAATTGTGCTGCTAAATATTTTTTGGAAACCATGATTTTTTTAAACATGTATTTATTTATTTAACTTTTTTCAGGACTATTTGACGAGTTGTGCATTAAAAAAAAACTGCATTTATTTGAAAGAAATATTTTGCATCACTACAAACATCTTTACTATCACTTATGATCATTTAACACATCCTTGCTGAATAAAATGATTCAAAAATCTTATTGACCCCAAACTTTTGAATACTAGTGTACATTTATAAGCTTCATATATGAGAATATGAGACATATACATTATCCATATAATCACAGAGCCACAAAACAAGTGCCAACAAGGTGGAATTATACAAGACTGTCAAATTACACACAGCCTCAATCTGGCACCCCAGATGTCTATTATCCTGTACTTTTACAAATGGAAACGGAATTCCTAAATATAAAGGCTTAAATCATCTAGGCAGCGTATTATCTGCTGGAGTACAAATCTAAAACGGTGCCTCGGTGGTTACTATCTATACACTCAGGTTCACGAAATGAGGTCGGATTAGTTTATGCATTATTAAATACACTCAAGATAAAGGCCAGCTATGGATCACTTTACAGCCACACATATGGAAACAAACCCACTGCTAATTCCAGCAGATCCATTTGAAGCCATTAATAATGGAGAATTAGTGCAGAGTGCTGAATTAAAACAGTTTGCTGGCTGAAACAGGCTTTTTATGGAAAGACTAGAAATACGATATGCTAATCAACCGTTCGTGCGCTGCTTATTTGAAGCGGAAAAGGTGTTCCTATCTTTGAAGCGACACTGCTCTTTCTTCGATGTGATATTTAAATCACAGCAGTCGTACGGCTGTAAATGATGTGAGCGCTTTGAACCGAGCGGAGAAAGGCGATCATTAAATGCCCGATCAGATAAAGGCCAGCAATTTCTTCCAATTACCAACCCAATCAACACCATCAGGGGTAAAATAACTGCATCAATAGATATGAGTGTGGGCGGTTCGTTTACAAAGGAGGAATTGAGGTCCTTGATTGGACAATACAACAGGAAGTGATACACACAAACATACACAGCATGCACATTTCTGTATTAATGATCTCAATCTGCACAATACAATTTCCCACAGCGCAATAAATTCGCTCAAAGCATCCTAAGATGTGACTGTGTGCATACAGTATGTACTTACTGCACAGACTTGGACACCTGAGACCTGAACTTGGTAAACTCTCCTGGTGCGGTCCATTCAGATCCCAGCTGAAATACAGAACAAACCAAAGGATTCCTTGATCATTAATGTTGTAATCGATGTTTAATTTGGTTTACATAAAATGATCTACTAAATGAGACTTCTCTTACTTAAAGGAATAGTTCACCCCCCAAAAATGAAAATCTGCTGAAAATGTACTCACCCTCAGGCCATCCAAGATGTAGATTTTAAAGAACAGTTTGTTTGTTCACGGGAACAGATTTGGAGAAATGTAGCATTGCAGTGAATGGGTGCCGTCAGAACGAGAGTCCAAACAGCTGATAAAAACATCACAATTATCCACCAAGTAACCAACACCACTCCAGTCCATCAATTAACATCTTGTGAAACAAAAAGCTGCGTGTTTGCAAGAAGCAAATCCATCAATAAAGCATTTTAAATTTAAACCATTGCTTCCAGCTAAAATAGGAGTCCTCGGATTCATATTGATTAGTGAAAAAAGTCATCTAATCCGATTCAGGAGGGAAATTTGCACAGATCAAGTTCTAAACAAATATGTGGGTGGATTCTGATGTGAGAGACAAAAGGGGATGAACTTTTTCACTGGAGGGAAGCGTTATTATGAATTATGGACTCGTACTTTGGCTGGAAGTGATGGTTTAAAGTTAAAACGTCTTGATGGATTTGTTTCTTACAAACACACAGCTTTTCATTTAACAAGATGTTAACTGGACTGGAGTGGTGTGGATTATTGTGATATTTTTATCAGCTGTTTAGACTCTAATTCTGACGGCACCCATTCACTGCAGAGGATCCATTGGTGAGCAAGTGATGCAATGCTAAACTCATCTACATCTTGGATTTTCATCAAATATTCATTTTTGAGTAACTATTCCTTACATATTATCCTTTTTCATTTAAATTTTATAATAATAGACTTTTTTTTTTCTTTACTCATAATAATTGTTCTAGTATTTTTATGTATTTATTTCTCATTATCTGACCATGAGTGTATAGGTGAGGCTTCTGAACAACAAACAGTTGTGTAAATGTGGGTGGTATATATATCTGGGTAAATTACATAAGTGTGTTTTGCAAAGAAAAGTTTACATTTAATGTCAAGTGGTACAATCGTGGCCAAAATTGTTGACACCCTTGATAAATATGATCAAAGAAAGCTGTGAAAATAAATCTGCATTGTTAATCAATTTGATCTTTCAAAAGTGGGGGGAAAAAAACACATTATGAAATAAATGTTTTTCTCTAATAATGGTCACAATTACTGGTACCCCTAGAAATTCTTATTAGTACAATATCTCTAAAGTATATTCCCAGTCATGTTTACAATTTTCAGCACACCAGAGTGACTACAAACATGAAATTATGCAGCCATGGCTTTCTGTTTCACAGGACTACTGTATAAATATGAGAAACACAGAGGCCAAATTCCCGTAATCATCCATCACAAGTAGTAAATCCAAAGAATATATTTCTGATGTGCAGCAAATGATTATTGAGCTTCATAAATTAGAAAGTGACTGTAAGAAAATATCTAAAGCATTGAAAATGACCATTTCCACCATCAGGGAAATAATTGAGAAGTTCGCATCAACAAAAAATTTTACAAATCTGCCTGGAAGTGTGTCTATATTATCTTAAAGCAAGGCGAGGAGGCTAGTGTGAGTGGCCAAAGGATCACAGCTGGAGAACTGCAGAAAATATTTTCATAATTAAACATTTTTTTTTATTTATTTATATATCAAACATCACCTACATCACCTAAAAATATGCACAGGTGGAGTGGAGGTACACATCATGCTTTCAATAAATGCTCAATCTTGTGGAAGAAGTTTTGCGACAGTGTGTGTGTGTTTGTGCATCTGCCTCCAGAGGCCAAAGCTACGGTATATTTCCACTTGAAGGTGACTACAGGAAAATGTGATGGTAAGAGAACACATTGGGTGGAAACTTCTTGCTAGCGCACTTGTTAGAGTCAACGTGTTTAAGTTCAATACAAATCACATCTTTCATTGTGAAGAAGACACTTTAGGGTACTTTTAAAAGAGTAGGGTACAACAGGGCTAAAATTACACCCTAAGAAAAAATTTGCTTTTCATTGTGCCCAAAGTGTATGATTGCATACAGAATATATACGTCTGCATTGAACATTTATGGAGCAACAGATTTTGTGTGAAAATACATCATACAAGTTGTTTATTTTGTTTAAAACAATCTTATAAATGTATGAGGTGGCAAGGTGGGCCTTTTACCCCACACACGGGGTAAAAGGCACACAGTACTGATACAAATACTTTAGCTAAAATAATGTTTTTTTTGTTTTTAAATAATGTATTAAAGTTAATACTTGTACAAAACAATCACTTTAGCAAAGTTTGTACTATTTTCTGCTTATTTTGATAAATAAAAAAAAAACTGTTCATTACATATACTGTTATTAAAATATGCTAATATAAAACATTTTAAAATACAGAAAAAGAAACATTTTACAAAGTAAAGATTCTGAAAGCATTGAAGCAGATCCCATTATAATTTAATAGATTTACAGTAGTAACAACAAATTCTATTTTATTATATGATATGATTAATATCATGTTTTTAAATATGATGGTTTCATTTTAAACATGGTGATTATCTCTAAGATGGACACTTGACATACTATATGATATTTACCATCTGAATCTAACCATGTCATGTCAACAAATGGAAAAGTCAGCCAGCAATTTATTATCATGTTAATTATTGTGCCTTTCGCCCCAATAGCAGGGGCACTTTTTACCCCAAATACCATACTTTTACACATTCTTCCGTTATTAAAAAAAAACTGTTGCTTTAATTATCTTAAACAAAACTGAAAATCATTAAGAAGACCTTTGTTTCAAAATATATTTAATAATTTTAGTGATTCTCATTTGCTACTTAAATATACAACATTTAAAAAAACATCAAATATTAGGTCAAGTAAGCACAGAATCAACTTTGCGCTGCTGCTCGCGATCGCATCAAGGATCAGCCACATTTGCATGAGTATCTTGAAAAGCGGATGTTTTGGAAAGTGCTACGCCAAGTTTTTCTGCCATCTAGTGGTTTAGAGGAAAATAATAGCAAAGATGCCTTTTATTTTTTTGTGTCATATTCTGAGTTTGCATTTCACCGTTTTTTTTTTTTTTTTAATTTTGAGGAATACTGTATCTGTTTTTGCGCAGGTGAGATGAGTAAAAGCATGTTCACATTTAGTCTAGTAGCCTACTACAGTAAGCATCATGTTTACACAGCGCACACAATGCCTCTGCACTTACTCCCGATTTCTCTCAACATGGCAACACGAGAGCTGTCAGTCAAGAAATGAGAAAACAAACTAACTGGCGTTACTTATTTGAAAAAAAGGAACTCAGTATTTTACTGTAAATTAAAAAGCGATGCATTACTTTACTAGTTATTTGAAAAACGTAATCTGATTACCTAACTCAAGTTCCCTTTCAGTTAGTCACATTTGACGTTAAGTCGACTGACGTTAAGGGTCTCACTCGGGAGCCCCAATCACCTCTGAGTTTTAGAAAAAAAGGCCAATGAGAATTGACGAGGGGAATTTGCATGCCAAGCCACTCCCCCGTACATACGGGTATATAAGATGGCAGCGTGCATCCACTCATTTAGATTTTTGCTTCGGAGCCGATCGCTTTGTGAGCGCTGCCTTCTGAAAAGGAGAAAGAAGAAAAGGAGTCTTCACCATCTGATAAGCTGCAGGAGTTCTCGGCTGTGGAGAATCTTCAGCTTTTCTTGCACTCAGCGGAGAGATCGCCCTGGTTGCGTACAGATAAGTGCCGCGGTCCTTCCCTGGGCAAACCAGCCTAAAAGAGCAATAGCAATCGCGGTCTTCGAGAGTGTCTTTCGAGATGTCTTTCCGACTTCTGGGTGCGGTAGTGCCCTTACCTCTGACGACGGTCACGATCGCTGTCTCACCTTTCTGGGCCGTGAGCATGCTGAGATGGTTTTCGTGGATGGCTCGTGCCCACATTGTGAGCACATGTCCATGGCTACGCTAAGGTTGCGGCTCGTCGGGTCGTAAAGACTCTGCGGCTGCATTGGTTAGGGACAAGGGTGACCTGAGGATCACGGTCAGGAATGCTCCGTCGGGCCAGCCCCACGGAAGTCCGGTCCCTCTCAGTGTAGCCCCGTTGAGCTCCCGGCAGATGGTGCTGGTTCGTCCCGCGGCAGACCCAGCGTCTTTTTCGGGGCTCTGAAAGAGGATAAGATGTCGATTGCTGCATCAGAGGAGGGGCTATCGTCTACGGAAGCTGAAGATTCTGCTGAACAGCCCCCCGCCGCGGCGGCTACTCAGTCGGAGTCCGAGTCCTGAGTTGATGGCCATGCTCCTCCAGGCGGCCAAGAGCATCGGGCTGGAGGTGAACTCTCCACCTTCTCCCGAGCGCTCGAGGCTCGACGATTGGTATCTGGGCTACGGCCGGGACTCCCAGCCACACTCCGCCCCAGTGCCTTTCTTCCCGGAGGTTCATGAAGCCTGGTTTGAGCTCTTCCATCCTCATTACCCTCAATTGTGGGGCGGCCAGGGGTTATGTGGATGTTCCCCAGGTGGAGCATGCGTTTGCGGTGCACTTGTACCCACAAAACGCCGCCACCTGGAGGAACCTTCCTTGTACTCTACTGACGGGAGGATCAGGTAAGTGCTGCTTCCAGCAGCTAGTCTCTACTTCGGGACGCTACACTTCCCGGGTTGAGCCACATTTCTTCCCACAGCTGCCCCACCGCGGGGACGTCGGTAACCGCTCCGTTGATTCTGCTTGTACAGGGGCTGGGGGCGTGGTTAGCACTGCCCAGCCCGTCTCGCTGGCTTATCCAGACAGTCCGACTCGGCTATGCGATTCAGTTCGCCAGGCGCCCTCCCAGGTTCAGGGGCGTTTTTTTTTACATCTGTTCCAACGGACAAGGATGCCTCTGTCCGGCGTGCAGAGATTGCGGTCGTCGTGGCGAAGGACGCAATAGAGCCTGTCCCTCCAGCCGAGATGAATTCGGGTTTTTACAGTCCCTATTCATCGTACCAAAGAAGAGCAGTGGGTTACGGCCAATCCTGGATCTGCGAGTCTTGAACCGATCCCTGCACAGGCTTCCGTTCAAGATGCTGATGCAGAAGCACATTCTTTCTTGCGTTCGACACGAGGATTGGTTTGCAGCTATCGACCTGAAGGACACATACTTTCATGTCTTGATTTTGCTTCGACACAGATCGTTTCTTCAGTTTGCCTTTGAGGGTCGAGCATATCAGTACAAAGTCTTCTGATTCGCGCTGTCCCTGTCTCCCTGCGTTTTTATGAAACTGGCAGAGGGTGCCCTGTCCCCACTCTGGGAGAAGGGCATCCAGATCCTCAACTATCTCGACGACTGACTTATATTAGCTCACTTGCGAGATCTGTTGTGCAAGCACAGGGATCTGGTGTTTCAGCACCTCAGCCAGCTGGGGCTTCGGGTCAACTGGGAGAAGAGCAAGCTCTTTCCTGTGCAGAGCATCTCTTTTCTCGGTATGGAGCTGGATTCGGTCAACGAACAAGCGTGCGCAGTCAGTGCTGAACTGCCTGAATTTGTTCAGGGGCAAGACAGCGGTCTCTCTAAAACTATTTCAGAGGCTTCTGGGGCATATGGCAGCTGCAGCTGCAATTACGCTGCTCGGCCTGTTACATATGAGACAATGGTTCATATTGGTTCAGCATTGGTTGCACGGCCGGATCCCAAGATGGGCATGGCGCCGTGGCACTCTCCAGGTCGGCGTTACCAAAGGTTGTCGCCGCCTCTTCAGTCCTTGGTCAGACCCTGCGTTTCTATGGGCAGGGGTGCCCTTAGAACAGGTGTCGAGGCATGTTGTTGTCACCACAGATGCCTCCAAGACGGGCTGGGGTGCCGTATGCAACGGGCATGCAGCTTCGGGCTCCTGGACAGGACCTCGACAGCAGTGGCACATCAATTGCATCGAGTTGCTAGCAGTGCTGCTTGCTCTTTGCCGGTTTTGACCATTGCTGCAGGGCAAGCATGTACTTGTCTGGACGGACAACACAGTGACAATGGCATATATGAACCACCATGGCGGTGTACGCTCCCGTTGCATGTCGCAACTCGCCCGCCATCTCCTCCTCTGGAGTCAGACTCGGCTCAAATTGCTGCGTGCCGTTCATGTTTCCGGAAGAGCTCAATCGTGCAGCGGATGCGCTCTCATGACAGCTTACCCTCCCCGGAGAATGGAGTCTCCATCCTCAGGTGGTTCCGCTTAATTGGAGTCGATTCGGGGAAGCCCAGGTGGACCTGTTCGCTTCCCAAGAGTCCTCCCACTGCTGGCTGTTTTGTTCCCTGACCGAGGCTCCCCTCGGCACAGATGCGCTGACCCCAGGGTTTACGCAAGTATGCCTTCCCCCCAGTGAGCCTCCTTGCACAGACCCTGTGCAGGATCAGGGAGGATGAGGATTGAGCAAATTACGTAACACGGTTCGGGTTGTGGCATTTTCCATAGGGACCCCTAACGTTGGTCAACGTAACATCGAATGTGACTGACTGAAAGGGAACGTATGTAACCCTCGTTCCCTGAGGGAGGGAACGGAGCCGTTACATCCCTCATGCCACAACCTCAAACTGTGCTGAATGCCGGGATATATTGAAATATGGCACATCAAGCAACAATCAATCACAAGACAGATGAACCAATGCTGTTGTTGTCGTTGTTGCCATCAGTGTTGGGTGTAATGCATTACAAGTAACGTAATCAGATTACTTTTTCAAGTAACTAGTAAAGTAACGCATTACTTTTAAATTTACATAAAAATATCTGAGTTAAATTTTCAAACAAATAACTTAAGTTACTTTGTTTTCCGAATTATTCACTGAGACCTCTCCTGTTTCCATGTTAAGAGAAATTGGGAGTAAGTGCAGAGGCACTACCGTCAGCCTGAGGCTTATTCATTTCACTTTTGGTGTGAAAGGGCCCTTACAGTTGCCAAAAATATAACTTTTGGCTAACAAAAAGTAAAGCAAAACTATTAGTTACTAACACAAAACAATTTGTTACTTTTTATGGAGTAATGCAATATTGTAATGCATTACTTTTAAAAGTAACTTTCCCCAACACTGCCTGCCATGGTGCATTATATTCAATTGTTTGTAAAGATGTAGAGTTTTATCATGTTTCCTAACCAGACACAATGTAATATGACTCTAGAAAAGCAATTTGTATGTTCCAAAATAGAGTCAACTGTTGCTTTTTGTGCATCGCCATGGCGGCTGGTTCGAAAAATCTTCCCCTCGCTAAAACGTGTCCTAACAAGACAAGTCGCGACACACAATAAATGTATCTTTTCCATGTTAAGAGGACAAAACTTGTGGAAAATGTACCATTTATCGTATGTTGCGGCGTGACGGTCTCAGCGAGGTGGATTTTTAACTAATTATTCAAAGGTCAGTCTCTTTCTCACACAAAGCTTTTGTTCACTCTCAGAAGATTTGGAATATAGTGATAGTGGCACTTCTGGAGCCGTTTTTGTCATTTCTGGAGACTGACAGCCCCTCTGCGTCTTTTTCAACGTAAGATATTTATCATCTTGGACATGGTACATTTTTTTTGTACCATTGAAAGTAAAGAAAGTCATACAGGATTGGAACAATAAAGTGTAAATGATGGCAAAATTTCATTTTTGAGTGAACTATCCCTTGCATAACCTGGCAGCTGTATTTTTAATCTTTCAGAGGAGTCTGAGGTATTTCTGTTGGCGTTACCCCACTGCTCCTCTCTCCTTTATGCTCTTCTGTCTATTTTTGAGCCATGTGAACGTTCCTCAAATACAGAATTACATTGAAGAAACTCATTTCGTCTATCTACGACCCTGGAATCTTGAATAAATGGAAAGGGGGTAAAGAGAGAAAATACGGGAGCAATGGAGTCACACCTCTATTATACTGAAGCAAGATATTGCTCTTTCTTCTTCGTGTCTATCTTCCCTCTCAGCTCTTTTGCTGCCACTTCACTTCGTTGCCTCAAAATTTAAATGAATCTTCGCTAAATGAACCTTCAGACGAATCTCGAAAAACATTTGAGCATCTATATTTACGGCAACAGATACAATGAGTTTCTCTGTTTCTCCAGCTTGGATGGATTTCCCCATCTACAGGTGACTGGAAAAGGTCTGTTGCTTCCGTAAGGAGTCGCTCGGAATTCCGGACAGGCTGTGATTCTTTTCTTAGACGAAGAGACGCCTCCGAGCCTTGGCGTTTCAATCGATCAGACGTCTCTGTGACAGGGTATCGAGTCCTCGGCTGGCGAGCGTGAGCGCCAAGCCCTGTCTGAGCCAGACGTAATCGATACGCCAGTAAACCGCACATTCCCTGTGCACTCTCACAGGCTTCTGGCTGAGGCGCTAATTGTGTTTTATAAAGCCAATGCTCCCTCACATCATACAAATCTTCACTTCTAAGTACTGAGTCCTCTGGGGAATAAATCTAAATGAAATCCACCCTGCAGTAACAGCAAGGTCCTCCATTTGAGGAAATAACCGCCGCTGCCCACAGTGACTCTGGAATCTGTTATTCAGTGACTAATGAAAGGAGTGCTGAATGATATTTATTCTTTAAAACCTATAAAATTGAATACAGGTTCATGGGCAAGTAATATAAACTACATAATATACAAAATATATTTAAGTATTTTACATATATATATATATTTATTTATAAAATATAAATATTTTATAAAAGTAAATGTTTCATTGTATTAGTTTTCGTTAACTAATATAATGATAATATGAAATCACTTACCTTTCCCACGTAGGCCAGCAGACGGGCGTTAAGAGGACTGTCATCTGAACTCAACCAGAATTCTGAGTTATCATCGGAAGAAACCGCAAACTGAAAATCACCTGCATATAGAATATACTTTCTTATTCTTGGATAACATGTATGTGTGTGATTGTGAGGGTTTGCACCCATTTGCACCTTGTTAATATAAACAAGCATTTACCATCTTTGTAAGGTAGAATGTATCCAAATATTCTCAGGCCATAGTTCTTCCATTTTGGAGCCACGGCCAACTTCTTCACAGCAGTTCTCGTCTGGAGAGATAAAACGCATGATTATGAAATTAGTATGTAGTGGGATGAGCAAAGACAGACACGGTAGGTGTGCTAAAATATAGTACTTTTTTACTTTAATTTCAAAGCTAATATTTTGTGTTGTTTCACACACATTTAGCATAATTTGACAAAATCACAGCTTGGTTGGAAGTGACACAAAATATTTTGTTGGGAAATTATATTTACTTTGTTTTCTTCACACATCACATATTTTCAGATTTAATATTTTATCGTAAGCTCTTTGCTGACACTGTTGCCACCTTATTAAACATGTTAATTAACGTTTAAAAATCATTAATATGCATAAAATATATGGTTGCGTTGGAGATTATGCCAGAGAGACAACTATAATGAGTAAAACAAAAATAACAAAATAATTTCTCACACACACACACACACACAAACCCACACACACACACAATAAATAAATAAATTAATTAAAAAAATACATTTATTTATTCCACTGTATGTTTAGATTTTCACAATTTTATAATAAAAAAGCAACTATGAATAATGAAGACATAAAAAGTTTGCAAGTCAGTTTTAATGTGATTGTCATAACATTTTTTATAAAAGTCTTATATCTTATAAAAATCAATCACTGAGACATAATGGGGCTCTTTTTTTTTTTCAAATAAAACACCTCTGTGAGTTCTGAAGCCGTTCCTGCTCTGTCTGTCCAATCTCACCCTGCCATAAATGCTAAACAGACACACATAATGTGTGTGAGACCAGAATCTCAGATATCTGTCATCTGTTTACAACAATCACAGGGACAGACAGACGGAGATAAAGAAGCGGAGGAACAGAGAGAAGGCTTTCCGGAACAGAGTAAGTATTTTCACAGTATTGGCTGTACGTGCTTTTAATTTGGGGTGAGTTCTGTCAGACATCTTGATCTGTGATCTATAAAAACAGGCCTGCCAAAAAAGAACCAAAAATGAAATAAATAAATGACAAAGTAAAGTTGAGGAGGTGGGAGGACTGTGTAGGTGGTCTGAACTAAACAGAATTCACAAAGACAGATCAGGAAAAGCCAACTGTATAATTCCACCCATTACAACCTTTTGGGGCTTTAAATTAAATTCAACCACCCACATGAGGAGAGAACGCTGGAGGTTTGCAGACACACCTTCCAAAACCCTATAATAATCAACAAAAACTGCAGTTTGCCAAAAGTTTGTCAAAGGAATACTTCACCTAAAAATGGGTGAGTTAAATGACATCAGAATTGTGCCATGGTCATGTCATAACAAAATAAAAGTAATGAAAAAATAAATAAATAAATACATTTAAAAATATTGTAATTATTTTATTTTATTTAATGTTTTAATTGTTAGGGACAGATACAATAAACATAGATGAAACTGAAATAACAGTCATCCCATGCATGTACCATAGTGCATGCAGCCGAAGCTAATTTGCAACACTTGTCCCTAGGAGGGCTTTTATAAATTACAGTTACAAAAAACAACAAGTAGTTGTCACGATCGCTACTGTGAGGGAGCGCGGAGCGAAGAACGAGGAGATGTGGAGCACATCAACAAGGAGACTTTAATAACATCAAGGAAACCAGGAAAAAACACGTAGCAGAGGAGGTTGACATAAACAATACCGGACCGAGAACAATGAACCAGAAACACTTTAAATACACAAGACATGACGAGAACATGGTGGAGCAGGCAGCTCGGGGGCCATGGTGGAGCAGAGAGACTAGGAAGCCATGGCGGAGCAGGCAGACAAGAAGTCATGGCTGAACAGGCAGACTAGGAAGCCATGGCGGAGCAGACAGTTCAGGAGGCCATGGCGGAACAGGGAGCTTGAGGAGCCTGGCCTCGGCACTGGGCCCGGCCTCCACGGAGGGAACCCTACTACCCCCCTCCCAAAAAAAATCCTTGGGGAGAATGTAGTCTTTAGAGGCCCTCCGTAGGCCTAACTCGGGAACTGTGGTCCTCCCTGGGCTTGACGTGGGGACTGGAGCCCTCCTTGGGCTGGACGTGGGGACTGGAGCCATCCTTGGGCTGGACATGGGAACTGGAGCCCTCCTTGGGCTAAACTCGAGGACTGGAACCCTCTCTGGGCCAAACTCGGAGACTGGGGTCCTCTCTGGGCTAAACTCGGAGACTGGGGCCCTCTCTGGGCTAAACTCGGGGACAGGAGTCCTCACTGGGCTAAACTCGGGGACAGGAGCCCTCACTGGGCTAAACTTGGGCACTGGGACCCTCTCTGGGCTAGACTCGGGGAATGGAGCCCTCCGTGGGCTAAACTCAAGAACAGGAGCCCTCCGTGGGCTAAACGAGGGTACTGCAGCCCTATCTTGACGCTGGTCTGGGGCTAGAGCCATCTCTCGACTCTGGTCAGGGGATAAAGCTGATACTGGAGCGAACTCAGGGGCTGGAGCCGACTGGAGCGAGCTCTGGGGGGCGCTCTTGGGCAAGGAAAAGGGCCGTGAGCAATTCTTTTCTCCTCATCCACCTCTTTTGGTTACGGGTGAATAGGGCGGCCAGCGGGCTTGGGTCAGCGGCGGCCGGCAGGCTTGCGGGAGCCGCGGCCATCGGGCTTGACTTCTTAGCGGCCGGCGGGCTTGAGAAGGGGCGCCGCTTACTGTTTCTGTTTTGGTCCGGTATTCTGTCACGATCGCTACTGTGAGGGAGCACGGAGCGAGGAACGAGGAGACGTGGACTACATCAACAAGGAGACTTTAATAACATCAAGGAAACCAGGAAAACACACATAGCAGAGGAGGTTGACATAAACAATACCAGACCGAGAACAACGAGCCGGAAACACTTTTAATACACAAGACATGACGAGAAACACCTAATGAAATATAATGGGAACAGGAAACAGGAAGAACCGAATATGGGCATAAGGAAACACGAGGGAGAACTTGGGGGAGGAAAACACAACACAACGGGAACACAAGTCTGACAGTAGTACACAAATTTATAATATAAGTACACTAAACAAGACTACAAGTTTACACCTTTCACTGAGAGAACAGTCTGAGCAAATTATGTTTTGCAATGTATAACTTTACAGTTTCCACTAGAAGCCGCTCTAGTGGATCTACTGCTCCCCTACAATCTCTCAAAAAAATTACATAAGGGCATAGGGGCAAGACCATTTAAACACTTTACAAAGTAAACTTTACATAATGAAAAAAGACAAAGTGAGCACAGCTCAATGGCAAATATGGCAAATTAATTAATAATTGAATGAATAAATAAATACATAAATAAAATATTTTCATGGTCCTTTAAAGGTAGTTATAAATAAAATAAATAAATACATAAATAAAATATTTTCATGGTCACACCAAATAATAATAATAATAATAATAATAATAATAATAATAATAATAAATGATTTCCATGGTGACACCAAAATAAAAAGTAATGAAATAACAATAATAATAATAATAATAATAATAATAGTAAATATATAATAAATTATTATTATAACTTAATAATAATAAATTATTTCCATGGCGATAAATAAATAACTTTTGTGGTGACTCCAAAATAAATGTAATGCATTAACAACAATAATAATGATAATAATAAATCCAAATAATTCATAATTCATTATCAAAACTATAATATATAATCTTATCATTTTTAAGCCAACAATAAACTCATATATTTTACTTATATTTATTTTACAATACACAAATTAATTTCTCATTTCGTCATCCATTTCAGATTTTCCAACTAAGTGTAACACACTGACAAGTTCTTCTAAAGAGCACATTCCTCCCAACGATCACATAGCTGCTTGTTTACTCGGCTTTCTGCTAATATTTACTTTCCACCATTTCAGTTACGCTTCACTGGGCTCCCCATGCAAATTTACGGCCACTGTTGTGAAAGACGTGGGCTTGTGTTTTAAAATGCCTATCTAACCAAACACAGCGCTGTCACATTACTCTAAAACTCAGTTATGTTTTTCTCATATCAGCACGACAGCTGCCATCAAACCAAAACAACACGCTCAAATATCCCTACTAAAGTTTACCGTACCAATAACTCTATGCATCACATCTGTATTTTATACATTTTTTATACAAGATTGTCATAATTATAATTCCAGATTTCACTATTTGTCTTTCCATTTAGCTCAACTCCATCATAACAGTATCCTCCATCTCATAAATCATACAAGCTAAACAGATATTCAATAATTCATGTGTTGATATTAATAATTAACTCGCTCATCTAAAAACAAATTGTCCTCTTTAAAGCTTCCTGCAGTAAAAACCGGCCACGGGGCCAATCAAAAAGAGTCCAAACTGTTTCAAGATTTGAATTAAAGATTCATTTTTAATATCTCAAAGCACTACACATCAGTAAATCCACACCAGTTTTGCTATTAATTATGTCCGAAAACATAATTACGCACAATTTTCAGTATATAAGCAGGGCATCATCTTCCACAATTTTTCCCTACAAACTCCTGATGTTTATGTGAGCAGAGCACACACGTCTCTCGAGACGGGAGTCTGAGTTATAGCCGCTCCAGGACAATAGATAAACCAATTTCATCTCTACATCACCCGAGAATACATGAATGTGAGATCTAGTCTGTGGGAGTTTTGAATTATGAAAGACACAGAGAAGCACAGACATGCGCACACTCTCAAGAAAATAACAAACAGACACATCCAACTGACCAAACGTCTGAGACCTTTATGTAAACCTGGACGTTTGGGATTTCTTCCATTAAAGCACGAGATGTTCTTCAGATCATTTCTGGAGAACGTGATCATGAGGTTTTGTCCATGTCAACTTGAGTGCTGCTGTCAGCAAACCAAATACTAATGCGTTCTCACATTGTTATGCTAATAATATGATATGCCACTAAAAATGCTAAATAGAAGTAGTCTCAGATTTTGGAGCAGAAGGTGATTGTGTTTCTGTTGATACTCACATGGGGGTAGAGAGGAAAATGCAGGTTCTTCCTGAGCTGAGCGACTGAGGAGCCACACCAGTCCTCAAAGACGTGGAGATTCGCTTGACCTTTAAACTGGGAAGAAGAAACATGGAAGACCTGAACATTACTTTCTGACACACTGCTGAAGTGTATAAAAATTGGAATAAAAAAATGAATTTAATGTTTTGCCACAATTAGTTTTTTTAATTGAAGAGTTTTAAAATAAAAATATTACCAAATGTTAAAATTAAACACGCTGACATTATGCTAACGAGAAGAGTTAAGAGAAAAGAAAGCTCTGACCGCATGACGGCACACGTGATAAATTACTCACGATGAGAGCGCGCTCTATGAAGGACCGTATCGTACCAGAACAGAATGCATTTTTTCGTTGACAATGATGGCAGTGGAATGGGGAAAAAACACAAGGTTATGAGACGTCAGTTAACTTGAGCGCCATATTTTTAGAATGCCGTTTCAAACATGAGACGCTGCGTAAGATGCAAGACTCCAACGCAAATGTCAAACATTTACAGAAAAACAATGGAAAATTAGCGCAATGGAATGAAAAACCTGTAAAGAACCACTACTGTATGTCTGATATTTCATGTTTGCATGATGCTTACAGGCTGAAAGCTGCTGTTTTTTAATTTAATTTAATTTATTTTTAAACACGATATTTAATGTTAATAACAAGTCTATTGGTGTTATAATTTTAGTCATTTTGAATTTGAATAGCCTTGACATTTAGAGGCTCATTTTTACCATTCTGAAAATATATTATAGGATATGTTTAAGACAAGTTTGTACAATATGTGCCTTCATATTTCATACATATTTTCAGCAAATATATTTAACAATTTTATTTGTTTTACTTTTACACCATGTTAATGTGTGCTGCACTTGGAATAAAACTTTCTTTAACCAGATGGTTAATAAAGAAAATGTTACTTGAATCAGACAGACAGACAGACAGACAGACAGACAGATAGATATAGATATATAGATAGATAGATAGACAGATAGATAGATAGATATTGTCAGGTGATAGATAGATAGATAGATAGATAGATAGATAGATAGATAGATAGATAGATAGATAGATAGATAGATAGTTTGATAGATAGATAGATAGATAGATAGATAGATAGATAGATAGATAGATATTGTCAGGTGATAGATAGATAGATAGATAGATAGATAGATAGATAGATACACATACATAGAGAAGAAGAGACTCTGAAAATGAGCTCCTGAAAAATTATAAAAGATTAAGCCAAAAAGTAAGACAGAGAGTGAGATAATGACAGCAAACAAGTAAAAACAACAGAGGAACAACTTGGATTCAGGTAAAGACAGATTTTTCTTCCAGAAAATACATTTTAATGCAAAAAAGAAGACTGGAACCTCTGGATTAGCACCTGGCTACTGGATCACCACTCTATCAGCTATCTGCAGTTTTCCCTCATCTTTTAAGGAACTACAACTGAAAGACATTACTTAATTGTTGATCTTCAATTGCTAAACAGAGAGGTGAGCTCTATCTTGTATAAAACATTAACAAAAACTGTATATTTAATTTTATTCAAACAACAAAACCACAAGACCTACCAATACAAGATGGAGAAATTTGGACAAAACATTTAGAAAACTTATATAAAGAAATCCCACCAAAACAACTCAAAACATAATCTGATCAAACAAAATCTACAAATTTATGAAAACACAATTAAAAATAATCAAAATCCACTTGACTTCCCAATTACATATAAAGAATTGACAAACAAACTCAAAAGCCAAAAATGTAAGAAATCTTGTGGGTGTGTGTGTGTGTGTGTGTGTGTGTGTGTGTATATGTGTGAGTGAGAGAGAGAGAGAGACAGCAAGTGAATGTGTGTGTGTGTGACCTCAGTGTGTTACCCTACTGTCCACCACAGTGATCCAAAGTATTTATGTGTGTTTCTATGGAAGTTAAAGACTGTGGTCTGGACCGACCCGCCACAATCTGATCCACGGGGAGTTGAGCATTAATAAAACACGACAGCAGTTTAGATGACTGGTGTTCTGGCACATTGTTCCACACAGCGTCCACAGGCTCCCCAAAAACCACAACAACACGGCGCAGAACATCAGAGGTGTTACAGCCTGCAGCGAAAGGCAGGAAAACCAGAACATTTTCCAGCCCAGTAGAAAAATCGAATCGTTTCAGAACGTGCTCACGGCGCTCGCTTCTGATACTTCTGATGGGCCGCATCACAAACCATTAGCACCAGTTAGCACGCTAAAACACGGATGCGCGTGCAATACCGAGAACGCCAGCTCTCACCGATGTCAGTTAAAGCTCTTTAAGCCCGACAAATAGAACCGACATATTCACATTAGACAGCCAGCTACACTTTCAACCCAGCATATTTTATTCCCGGTATTTGGTGTCTGTCAGAAAACATTAGACTGGAGCAGACAGAAGAGAACTGGGAGTTATTGTTTATTCCTTGCTGTTGGCGCGAAATTCATTCCTTTTCTCTCCCTTGGCGAATTCTCTAAATGCGATCAATACGAGAAGATCAGAAGCACAATTCTGTTACACAGCGCATTTGCACACACCACAGAGACTAAAGGAATAAAGGCACCTTGCGGTTGAAGTACTGGAGGGAAATTTATTCGCTTTCATGAAGTGGAGAAACGTCATGAAACTTCATGAAAAAGGAGAAAATGTTCCTGACCATCACAGCTGAGGTGAACTCGGTCAGCCCATCAGTTCTGTAGTTTATCTAACAGTCGTTTCGGGAACTGACCTCGGGTTCAGGAGGAATGATTGGCGTCTTGCTGAGAAAGTGTGAAGTGGTTGATGATGCAATTTCAAGGCCTTTCCTACAGGAGTCATATCATGCAAAAACGATTTAAAAAAAGGCATTTGTAGATATATGCCAACATTCAAAATCTAAACAAAGCTGCAAAAGTAGCTCATCTTCTATCTTCAAGGTTGTGACAACAGACAGCTCCAAAAAAAAACAAAAAAATAAATAAATAAAAAATAAACAACAACAATAATATAAAAAAAAAGAAAGGGTCTTTTTGGGTTTTATGTTTAGTTCCACTTTGCAAATGCGAGTATATATATATATATATATATATATATATATATATATAAATACATTTTATATATTAAGAAATATATCTCATAAATGTATCAAAAATATCTCATAAAATGTTTAAGCATAAATGCAATATCATAAATATATTGCGTAAATGAATTTATGTATAATAATATTACATAAATGTAAATGCAAGCATATTTTTATTTTTTTATCTAGTGCTTTTTAGGATGAGAAAAGTGCAATAAAAATGCATTATTATTATTATTATTATTATTTTTATTATAAATGTTACACGTAGTCATATAAATGTCACACTTTTTTGTAAGAATAATTTATAACTCTGCCATGAATGAACGAACGATAGACCGGACGAACAAACAAACAAATTAATTAATTCAATTTCAATTTAAGAAACATTATGCTTCAACCTCAATATGCTAAACAATGACCAATGATATTTTTCTCAAATATCTGAATGATTTTTAAAATACTATTTATTTATTTACCGCTTCATGAATTCTTTTGACTGATTCATTCGAAAGAACCAGTTCATGAGAGTCATTTGTTTGTGTAATGAACATCATAGTTAAAGAAGACTTTAAAGGTGTGGTCACATTTACCGTTACTTCGACGAAATTCAGGAAAGTTTTGAAACATCTGAAAATGTGAAGATTTGAAAATATTCATATATATCGCTGTTCTACTGACAATAGACAATGGATCTTTTCGTGCGAAAATTTTCACTGACATTTCGCTAAAATTTCCCTAATGTAACAACACACCCTAAATATGTAATTAATTCCACCTAATGAAATTATATGACAAAACCACATATTTATATTATCGGAAACATTTCTCTCTTTTGCATTTACACAAATTTTGTCACCATTTGAAGACTTGGGTGAAGCAGTGCTAACTATATTGGAATAAGAGAAAAAAAATTGTGCCTTTGGATGTCAGAATTGGAATGGAAATAATTTTTAGGTTAGCCAATTATAACGAAAGGTTAGCTCAAGCAGAAGAACATTCTGTCATCATTTACTAGCCTTCATGTTGTTCCACACCTGCATGACTTATATATCTGTATATATTTATATGAAGTTATTATGAGAAAGAGCAATGTCCAAACACTGAGACATTTTTGAACATATCTTCTTTTGTGTCCCAGAAGAAAAGTTGCATAAATGGGCTTATAATGTTCAGGAAAACCATAAAATGATTAAAAAGTGAATGATATGACCACTTTAACAGCAGGTTTGAAAGCAGTGACCACATAGTGATCTTAGACCACATTTATTCCTCTCCTTAACATGTCACACCCGCCCTAAATTTCTGTTAAGGGAAATTAAAGTTGCCGACGTACAGAAACAGTCTGAAAATAGTTTCTGTTTCCACACATACATACAACCACACGGAATGATATAAACATCAATAACATGCACTTTGATTCGATTCTTGCAGCTGTTTTATTGCATACCCTGTTGAATTCAGTGCGTCAGTCTCTCATTTGTGCTGTGAGCTTTTATCCTCGGTACCAGCCCACAAACTAGGCCACAGAGATTAACCCTGCGATTCCACGGCTATAAATAAACACCAGCAAGCAGAACATACTGTATTTTCATAGAGTGCCATTCTTGTTTAAACCACAGGGATTTGTATGGGGAGGTTTTGATTAAACTCAATCGCCTTCATGGGTAAATATGGCAGCTGTCTTCAACGTTTACATAATCCTTATGTAATATCTCCTGCGCGCTTGATTCATAGCTATAAAAGTGCAATGATTGCTAACAAAATCAAGTCTTGTGAAGTCATATAATATCTTTGTGTGATTTAATGCTATTCAATGACAATCTACTCTCCAGTCAGCGATTAACTCAAGAACCATTGAGACCAGATCAGTGAATCATTGACTTCGCTGATTCTTTTCAGTGATCCGGTTCGCAAATCAGACTGAATATTTTGTGAATGAAATGGACTGATTCAATAATGAATTAG